GTTCCAAGTTACTGATGTAGTGCCGGTTTGGTATTTGTATGTTAGTAAAATTTCAAGAGGAGTATCGTTATATTGTGAAAGTGAGTTAATGATAAATTGTGATATTGGTGAGATGTGTTTTTGAATTAATGATTCGTATAGATTTGGATGAATCATTATTTGTGGATTGTTAAGAGGTGGTTTTATAGACAGTGTTTGAAAGAAATCATTTTTCATTGCTTTTGTTTTGATTATATTGTCTGGTTGTGATTTAGTGAAGAGATTAAGTAAGTTTATAGGAACTAGAAGTTGGCAGTCATGGGTGCTTGTTTGAATGTTTTGTGGGCAGCATTGACATTTGGAGAGTATTATAGATCTGTTGAGTTAGAGTTGTTATAGGTCCAGTGATTAATAAGAATGTTTTATAATATATAAATAATTAAAGAAATAATGTTATTTATGAAAATAATAATAATAATAATAATAATAATTTATAATTAAATAATTTGTTAAATAATTTAATTATTTTTAAAAAAATAAACAAAAACAAAAAATAAAATAAAAAATAAAAAAATAAATTAACAAAAAATATAAAAAATATCAAATTAAAAAAAATCCAAATAAATAAAATTCAAAATATAAAAAAATATTCAAAAGTAAAAAATATTTGATATTATAAAATTTTTAAAATTATAAGAGCTAAAATAAATTGATAAAAAAAGAATAAGTTAAAAAACAAAAAATATAGAAACAAAAAATTTAATATATAATTAAATTAATTTATATAATTTATATATTTTTAAAATATATTAATATAATTTATTAAATATTGTTATAAATATATATATGTGTATATTAAAATATATATATAATTTATAAAATAAAAAACAAAATAAATTTTGGTAAATTATAATTTTTTAATTTTATTAAAATATATAATATTAAATAATTTTGTTAAATTTTATAATAAATAAAAAATTAATAATTATTATTATATTAATTTTAATATAAACTTAAAATGCTATAATTTTTAATTATTAAATATTTAATTTTTTTAATATTGAATTTTATAAGTTTTTTATTACTAAATATATTTTAATTACAAATGTTTTATATTTTCAAATTTTTTAATTATTAAATTTTTTTTATTGTCAAATTATATAATTAATATTAAAATACAAATTATATTATTATAAATATTAGTTTATTATCTATTGAACAGATATATTATTTAAAAAAACTTTAAGGTAAAAAAAATCTAAAAAACTATTTATTATAAAAAATAAAAATAATAAAAATTTTAAGTAAAATTGCTATTTAAAAGATTTTTAAAAAGATATAGAATTGATAGATATGAATGTGATAGTGTTTTTATTATATATAATTCCTAAATATATATATTTATAAGTTCAGTTAGATAATTAAGTCACATATAATTAATAATATTACTAATAGTGATATTAAAATAAGTTTTTTATTTATATATAATAGGTTTGAGTTTATATAAGATATAAGACAGTTTATATTGTTATAATAGTTTAATTTATTAATAAAAATACTGAAACTTATGCAAAATACAGATTATATACTTTTTTAATTTGGTATATTATTGTATTATTTTGATGTGATAAGATAAAACAAGATATAATTGATGGTTTTATAAAATGTAGATCTTTTAATAAGAATAAACTGATTTCAGTTTTTTGTAATGTGAAAATAAATAAGGATTAATAACTAATTAAAAGATTGTGATATTAATCTGACACTAATTGTTATTAACAGAAAACAAAAATTCTAAAAAAATAAAAATATATAATTGTTTTGCATAGTTTGTATAAGCAAATGACTTTTATATAACCAATTTTTTATTTGTTTTTTCTTTATTCCAATAGTCACTAGACCTTTTTTAAAGTAAACTATTGCTGAAATCCCAAGAACCAATCTGAATTTTGAAACCCTGCTGCTTTAAATTAGTCTTTTAATTTATATATTTTTTTCAAAGGACATGTTCTATTAAACAAAATTCCTTGAAAAAGAAAACCTTTCTAAAAAGACAATTTTCTATAGATAAAGATATTAAGAAAGGGAGTTTTTTTTAATTTAAAAACTTTATTTAAATTTAAATGAAAATTAAAAAATCAAAAAACCTTGATATATCAAAATGAAGTTCTTGATAAGAGCTACTTGTTCAATTATTATTTATATAAATTAGACTCAAGTGATTCTATTAATAAAAATTTATTAACAAGTAACAAAAAATTAAGAAAATAAGAGATTTTAAGCAAAAACGATATTCTTATAAATATATATTTTATTTTATAAGACTTACAAAAATAATCGTTATATATTTTTAATTTTTTTTCTTATTATAACTAAATAAACAATAAAGCTGTTCAATACTATGCAGGTTCATATTTAATTCATTATATGTTTTATATCTAAGAGACGTTTGTTTTTTACAAAATGTATAGCTTGTTATACACAAACAAATAACAATACAATACTCTCCTACTCAAAAAAATCAAATAAATAAATAGTAAAAATATTAAATAAATAATTACGTATTATTGATAATTTAATTCAACAAACAAAAACTTTATTGGTTTTATTTGAAAAATTTCTTTTATTTATTTTTGAAAAAAATACAAATTTTTATATTGGTTTTGTTTATTGTATATCTTTTATGCAAGAAAGACTGTCTAAAATACAGTAGTTACACGAAATACAAATTAACTTCAAGTTACCGTTACAAATTTATTGGTTTTTCAGTTACGGAAAAACAGGCTAAATGTTGTCTTGCGCGTAGGCGCATTGATCTCTATGTTTAATAAGTCATAAAAAAACTAGATGAAAAAATTTTTATACGTATCTTATGTAGGGGTATCGTAATCGAGACATAATAAATAAAAAAGGAACTTAAAATAGTTAATCATTATTCCAATGACATAATAAACAAATGAAAAAAAAAAAAGAAAGAGGAAATTCTTCCATCGTCTTATGACTTTAATCTCCGATATTACGCTATATGATTCATTACCACGTTCCTTTTAAATTTACAAAAAAATGGGAATCTGCATATATTCTAAAAACTTATTTAATCTATGTCAAGAAACATTCGTGACCCGTTGATCCAAAAGTTTTCGTGTTGATTTTGTTTAGGTAACGGCCGGTCATTAAATGTTTTCCCTTGAAACAAGTCTTTTACTTGCTCTGATGTCATTGGCTGTGCCATCCGTTGAATCTGTTCAAGGTATTGAGATCGCTCATGCGAAGCCAGAAGGATCATATTATTCTCTTCTTGAAATGTTCGATTCATCAGTGGGGAATTAGTTTGGGAGGTAACTCTTTCAACGTAATTACTCATGTTCGTAAACTGATAAGTGAAAAAAAAAGTTTTTTTTTCAATGCGAGAGGGAGCAGATACTGATCATTTTATACCGAATAATTTCATCGGATTAATTATATGATGGTAAAAATAACGGAACAGTGTGATTCAGAGTAGACGACTGAATGGTTTTTAATTAGTATACAGCATTATGATATTACGATATTTGAAGGTGTGTATTGAAAAAGTGCAATTGGTGCGTGCGAAAAAGTACAGCGCCAACTATTGGAATTGCGAATTATTACATGTCATAATGTCATCTGGCACAACTTTAAATCATTTAATTTCTTTGGACACTTAATGTATCACACTTTTGGAATTTTTTAATTTTTGATTTCATGTAAGCAACATGATTTACCATCTAATGATAAGATTTTGCCATTAATACAATAAACCCTGAAACCCTGAAAGTCAGGTTTTCACACTTATAGGATCATTTAATTCATTTCAGGTTGAGTATTATTATTATTCTATTATATAATATTCAGGTTATACTATGGGTGCAAGACGTATCTGCTTATGACATGTGTTCATTTTCCACGTAACTACTGTAGATAAAAAAAATTACTCTATAAAGCATTGAATTTTTTATAGTGCAGGTCATAATAAATAACCCCTTACTTTTGAAATACCACTTACATCTGCCGAGAAATCAGAATATAATTAAAAGTTCTATCATAGATTTCGATATTCATGTTGGTTAAAGAAATGATTATTGATTGGTATCTTTATCTTATTATGTGTGGAATGGTGAAAGTTGATTATTCTTTATTGCCAATTTTGGATACGTTGACAATGAGAAAAATTTAATGAATCATTGATAAATCATTTGTGAACATTTTAGTAAGACACCCCTTAACAATATGTGTCACATTCATTTACGTGTAACTTATAGTTTTATGGAAGTACAATTATTGTTAAAAATATTTTTTTATAGCCTGAACAATATGGTTACATTCCACAAAGACAGCTTGTAACTAATATTCCCAGGCTGTGGTTTAATTAATGTCTTACAACCATAGTTACAGTATATCGCACCTTGTTTTTTTAATTACATAATCAAACGAACCAATTTTCTGAACCATAGAGAATCCTTGGTGTATACTGTATATACAGTTTAAATTCATATTCCCAAATAACTTGAATTGAAATACAAAAATGGACCAATGTTTTATTCATGTTCTTCCATGAGGCACAATCATTATATGTCGAAGCAAAGTTAATAATTATTTGTTTCTAAAATTATACATACAATACAAAATGTTCTATCGGATTTGTTTCGGGTTTATCTTTATTTAAGATATCACGTGGTTTTCCTTTAAAAATACCATATACAGTATATAGCTTATATTAAAGATACTGTAAGTATCAAGTATACCATATATCGAAGGTATTGAATATATGTTGTCGTGAATTATCCGGCGAGTCTGTCGCCAATCCACAATACTTCTCGCGCTAAGTTCAGTCGACTAATCAACAATGAGGTAAGTTTCTCTTTTGACTCTTGAGGCGTGTCTTCGACTTGTTCGGTCTTTACTTTAACATCCGTGCCGACTAACTTAGAACCTTTCCAATGCCAATTCCCTTAGGTAAAAACCTCAGTTCTCTCTTTTAGTCACGAAGTCAAGTTACAAGTCTTCTTTGACACACTGAACGCAAGGTAAGAGTTTACTTTAAACTTCCCTTTATTGTTAAATGCTAGAATGCTAATTACAGGTTTCCCCCCCTTTTTTAAATGCTACTGGATTGCGCATGTATTTATGCAGCACTTCTTGTTTACATGTTTACATTCTCCGTCATTCCTAATTTGTTCTAGAAATTCCCACCTCTAAATTTCCCACCGCTCTTTTCATAACAACACCAATTACGTACGTGATGCGTGCTGCGTTATCGTGCCACTTTTTACCCACGACAATATATATGGGTGGGTGTATATATGCATCGAGTATATGTATATGTAATGTGTGTATACTGTAAGAGGTAACGAAGGGTTATTCTCGCGTACCTGCATCAGGTATCGCGAGATGTGACTTTGGACAATAGAAACGGCGCAATGAAAGGTAATACGATCTGTGCCGAGTATATGTAACAACTATGATAACCACCATTTATCACGTGATCGATCTACGCAGGAGTATCACGAAAAATGTGACAATGAACATTGTGAGAATTATTATATTATTTTCACGTGTTTTAATTTAATTGATTTTTCTATATCTGTTATTTTCATGTGTTGGATTTATTTTACATAATCTAAGAAAAATAATAAAAACAGACCTCACAAAACGCCTTACCGGTTACGCGATGACAGACTCGCCGATCACCCGTTACAGTACGTCATACCATAGGAAAGAGTTTTAATTTTTTTTTCTAAAATTCTACTATTTTACTTATATAAGAAACAAAAAATCATAAGACTCTCAATCAGGTGTCGCAGATTCTGTCACAAGTACCTTCAAGCAACTTCGTGACAACTTGTGGCCTTTTAATTATAGGCATAGATTATTGTTATAATTAATGCTAGTAATACTGTAGGATATATGTTGCCAATTAGAAACGGCAATAAAATACCGAATTAACGATTTTATAATTATTACCTGAACGGTTTATCCTACACTTCTTTAAGGTCGAAGTTATATTTTAAAATTTTTCAATTTATTTACAAATTACATCAAATATGTTTGTTGAATATTGTTTAGCAACCAGTACTGCTACAATGGCAACAACAACATTGCTTGCTACTACGTCAGTGGCATTTAGTCAAATAGATACAACAAGCATAGGAATGGCCACGTCTGCAAGAGAGATACAAGAAAGAGAGAGACTAGAAAGAGAGAGACAAGAGAGAGAGAAACAAAAAAGAAAGAGACAAGAGAGAGAGAGACAAAAAAGAGAAGCGAAAGAGAGACAAAAAAGAGAAATGCAAGAAAGAGAGAGACAAGAAAAAAAAGAAAAAGAGAGACAAAAAAGAGAGAAACAAGAAAGAGAAGTGAAAGAGAGACAAAAAAGAGAGAGGCAAGAAAAAGAGAGACAAGAAAGAAAATAAAAAGAGAGACAAAAAAGAGAGAAACAAGAAAGAGAGAAACAAGAAAAAGAAGAGAAAGAGAGACAAAAAAAAGAAGAGAGAGAAACAAAAAAGAGTAAAGGAAGAGAGAGAGGAGAAAAAAAGAAAAAAGAGAAATTTTATTCATGACTTTATTTTTTAGTTTTTATATTAACTTATTATAACTATATATACTGTATATACAGAGGGTTGCCAAAAGTTTATGGACACTTTTTAAAAATTTAAAAAAATTTTTTTATTATTAAAAAAAAATTTTTTTTACAATAATATATTTATATATCAATCATAAATCCGACTTTTATTATATGACTAATATTTTGTAGGGCCCCCTTCTGCCATAATACAAGCTTCAATGCAACGTGACATACTTTTGACTAATCGCTGACAATCATTTAGACTTATTTCACTTCAACACTTTTTAACAAGATCCTTGAGTTCTGTTAAATTTTTAGGCTTAGGTGTAATTTTTCGAAGACGACATTTAACGAGATTCCAGAGATTTT